CTGAGCGACCTCTTCTTTGTTGAGGGGCAACTGCACAGTCTTCTTGGATTTGACTCTAGTCAGCTGCTTTTTGATAGTGGCCAAGGATGATGATGCTTTAACGGACTGAAGCAGATCAGACAGGACCAGCTTCTCTCTAGTTCCTGTACAAAGGGACAGACTTCCTGGTCAGTATCATGCAGGGTGACCTCATGGTATAGAGGTGGCACTGACAGCAACTCCTGATCTCTTATCCCTATCCCCAGCAGCAGGAACATGACCAGTCTCATACAAGCCAGTTGTGAGTCAGTTGGTAGAAACAAAAACCCAATTAACTGCCATTCAGTCAATTGTGACTGATATTGAGTCTACACGACAGGGCAGAACTACTCCTGAGGGGTTCAGAGACTAACTCTTTGTAGGAGTAGAAAGACCTGTTTCTTACTCTATTGAAGAGGGGTTGGTAGATTTGAACGGATGACCCTTATGCTATTGAGAGCATAATGTGCAACTTTTAAGTCACCAGGACTCCTTTGGGTGGGAGGAAAATGCAACTCTTGATAAATGACTGTAACTCTTTGTAGGTGTATAAAGCCGTGTAGCTCATTGTCATTGTTGCCCTCTCTCTCAAGGAGCGGTTGGGGGTTTCAAACAGCCAGCCTACAAGTTATTAACAGCCCACGGGCAACCAGTAAGCTAGCAGCCTCCTTTGTTTGCGGGGGTGGGGTGGGGTGGGGTAGTAGAAGACACTTCTTGAAAAAATACTCTTAACTCTTTATAGGACTAGAAAGTCCGGTATCTTTCCTTCGTAGCGGTGGGTTGCTAGAACCAATCAACCTTTCTGTTATAAACAGCTCCACAGGCAACTGCTATGCAACCAGGGTTTCTTTGGGTGGGAAGAAAATACCCTTCTTGAGCAAGGACTGTAACCCTTTGAAGGAGTAGAAAGCCTGTCTCTCTCTCTCAGTCTCTCCCAAGAAGCGGTTGGTGGGTTCAAACAGCCAACCTTTATGTGTTCTTTTTTTGGAGAGAACTTTATTTTAAAAGTGCCATCTTAAACTGCAAGGATGGCCATTAAACACCACAATTAAACATGCCAAAGGAGAAGGACGTTGTAAAAATGCCCACTTAACCCACCCAAACATCTCAAACCCACCCTTTGCTGCCCTTCACTAACCCTCTCTAAAGGTTTCTTTTCCTTTTTTTTTTAAGCAAGAGAAAGTAGACAGAAACATGTTGGTAAACGCTAACTGTCCATTTTCACATAGAGACACAGTGTGATCTCTGAGCCCAGTCTACAGAGAAAGGAGGAAAGAAGCTAGAATTCTGTGCACTACTACACAGGGGCCTAGCACCCTCCAGCTGCCAGCAGAGCCAAGGGAGCAGAGGGGTTTCTGTTTTCCCAAGGAGCACGGTGGTGTGTCGATTCCATAGTTTGTGTTGAGACAGGAAAGGATAAAGTTAATTTGAACACAGGGAGTAGAGATTCTTTCCCACTGTATTCTGCACAAGGCGTTATTCCGACCCCCAAATAAGTTGAGAACCATGGTGTAGAGAAGAGAAAACAAACATCCGTAATATCTTCTTAACCTTCTTCTTCATCGTTGTCATCATCTTCTCCTTCACCTTCCTCATCATCCATATGAGGAACCAAATAGTACCATAATGGATGACTTCGCCTAACTCACCGGCGCCTGGATCAGAATGGTCGGAAAACCAGGTAAAGAAACTCCCTGGCTCTTCATGCGGCCACTTCCTGCTGGCTTTGTTCTGTGTTCGACTGGAAGGGTTCGTTAAGTCCTTTCCAGATTTCCGTTGATTTTGCAGCTCAGGCTTCTTCATTTGAAGCAGGCTCAAAGGCTAGCGTGTAGGGGCCATGCTGCTGTCTGTCAGCTATGTCCAAGAATCATGAGAAAGAGCTGCTTGCCTCTGGTGGAAACTGAACCCCTACGTTATTAAACGAAACGGGCACGCACAGAGACAGGAGCCTACTTTAGTTGGGAGGTAGAAGTCATTTCTTGGCAAAATAATTTCACTCCTTATAGGACTAGAAAGTCCGGTCTCTCTCTTTCCAAGCAGTTGGAGTGGTTGGTTGCTTGAACCAATCAATCTGTCTGTTAGAAACGGCCACACAGGCAACTGCTGTGCTACCAGGCTGCCTTGGGCTGGGAGGAAAAGACACCTCTTCAGCAAGGACTATTACCTTTTGTAGGAGTGGAAAGCCTGTCTCACTCCTTTTGTCAGTCCCAAGAAGCAATAGGTGGGTTCAAAGAGCCCACGTCTGTGTTATGAACAGCCCAGCGGCAACAGTTAGGCTACCAGGGTTCCTTTGGGTGAGAGGAAAATGACACTTCACGTGAAAGGACTGCATCCCTTTGAAGGAGTAGAAATCGCTTCCCTCTCCCTCAGTCTGTCCCATGGAGGAGTGGGTGGGTTCAAACAGCTAACCTTTAAGTTCCTAAAGGCAGGGGACCACCAACCACAGAGCCAGAACAGTACTTTGGTTGGGAGGTGGAAGACCATTCTAGACAAAAGACTGTTTATAGCAGTAGCAAATCCTCCCTGTGTATTTTGGAGCAGTTGGTTGGTTCAAACAGTCAACCTGTGCGGTATAAACAGGCCCACGAGCAACTACTAGGCTTCCAGGATTCAAAGAGGCAGCTTACAGGTTAACAACAGCCCAGCGGGCAATCACAACGACTACTTTGGTTGGGAGGTGGAAGCCACTTCTTGACAAAAGACTACAACTCTTTATAGGAGTAGAAAGTCCACTCCTTCTCTTTCTATTGGTTGGATGCTTGAGCCAAACAACAAGTCTGTCCTAACTGCCCCACAGGCAACTGCTATGCGACTAGGCTTCCTCGAGGTGGGAGAAAAAGACACTTGCACAAGGACTATTACCCTTTGTAGGATGGTAAGCCTGGCCACTCCTTCTGTCTCCCCCAAGGAGCAATAGGTGGGTTCAAACAGCCAACCTCTGTATTGTGAACAGCCCAGCGGCAACTGCTATGCTACCAGGGTTCCTTTGGGTGAGAGGAACAAGACGCTTCTTGTGCAAGGACTGCATCCCTTTGAAGGAGTAAAAAGCCTGTCCCTCTCCCTCTGTGTCCCCCCAAAGAACAGTGGGTGGGTCAAACAGGCAACCTTTAAGGTATTGTAGGCAACGGGGCCACCGCAGGGTCAGCAGACTACTTTGGTTGGGAGGCATAAGACTTTTCTTGAGAAAAGACTGTAACTCTTTATAGGAGTAGCAAATTTTTCTCTGTCTGTCTCCTTCCTCTGTCTTTCGGAGTTGTTGGTTGGTTCAAACAA